GTATGAATCAGCTATATGTGCTTTGATTGATTGGTACGCTCAATGAGTAAGTGAATCTTCGACTATTCTTTACGTACATCACAACCCCGTTATTCTTCAAGAGAGTGTCAGATCACGTGATCTGGCTTACTCATCCTTTCATCATATACCTTTTCACAAGCTAGCGTGTATATAGAAGCAAGATGTATACAGAAAACTTGACCTCACTAAGTGTGTCACTTAATCTCATTACATAATCATAACTCTGACCTCGTATAATACAGTAATAATCAGTTGGTAATTGACTTTCAATCTTTCAATTCACTTATTTATTCAGCTCATCAATCAATCAAAGCATGTATAGCTGATTTATAATTAATTAAATAAACAGATAAATTCATATAGAATATAAAGAGATGTTTTACAGAATTTTAAAATATATCAAGATAAAAATAGTTAATAATTGATTTTAAATTGATTTTAAATTGATTCTGAATTGATTCTGAATTAATTATAGTAATAAAAATAGATTTAATCTATATATTTAAGTAATTAATAATTGATTGAAAATCAGTTGATAATCAATTCAGTATTATTATTAAATTCAAGAATAATTTCAGTATTAAATTAATTTTGAATTGATTTTGAATTGATTCTGAATTAATTATTAATTAATTATAGTAATAAAATAAATTCAATCTGTATATTTAAGTAATTAATAATTGATTGAAAATCAGTTAATAATTAATTCAGTGTAAATTATATAAATACTTACTAGACTGGCTGTCAGAACTATGAATTTCACATTTGATCTCATTTGATCTGATCTCATACATTTCTTGGCATGAATTCTGCTGAGACTGACTATCAAAAAAACATGTAAAGTGACTATATATCAGATCTTAAAATGAAATCATGACTTGAAAAAAATGAGAAAGTGGTCTCATTTGATCTCATTTAGTCTCATTCTTGACATAAAGTTACTATTTTTAGACATTTTAAGGTTTTTTTTAGACTATTTTTAATTTTTTAAAAAGTAACACTTTTTGATAATGCTCAAATGAGATTTAAAGTCATTTAAAGTAATAAAAATAATTTAAATTGAGAAGTGGAAATCATGATCTCATTTGGAAAATGTGACAAGAGTAGACAGTAAGTCTCACTGGGACAGTATGAGACTACTATCTAATGTTAAAACTGTGTAATGAGATCAGTCGAATTGGTAATGAGACTATCAAAAAATCTGGTCCTGGTCTCAGACACGGTCACACGGTCAGTCTAATACTTACTTTATTATTAAATTCAAGAATAATTTCAGTATTAAATTGATTTTAAATTGATTTTGAATTGATTGTAGAATTGATGATAAATAATTGAGTGGTTTCAAATTACAAGAAAAGATGTATTGAGCGAGGTCAGGTAGTGGCACAGGCCACATTTGCGAGGTCAGCTTACATAACGAGGTCAAGTGGCGCACTTAGCGAGGTCAAGTTTTCTGCTTCCTGCAAGGTAGCAACCTTTCAATCAAGCAAGCTTTACACCTTCCACAATTTGCAGGCCACACTGGAATGTGTCAGCACATCATTCCAGCGTATACAGTAACTACAGATTTAACTTGAATAGGTTTAGATCTATCACTTTTTCAACTAAATAGTTACACCGTTGAACTCTATAATATGAATCTGACTGCCAGCTTGGCATGCTTGGTATCCGGCCAGGTTAGCGTGTATAACCCCGGCCAGAGCCGTCCAGGGTCGTACAAGCTGGCACTCTACGGATTTATAGGGCCCTGGACGGGGTCACCGAACAGGCCCTAAAAGTTTCATTGTGTGACACTGTAGCTAGATTACATTATTACATGTGTGAATTGTGAGGTGATTACTGTGGTAACACTGCTGCTACATTCCTCTCACTCACCTCTTCAATGTTTGTTCTCTACTCCAACACCTGCACTTATAAATCAATATAGAAGAGAGTCAAGCTCGCTAATAGCTCACAGATACACTCCCTCCGAAAACAGAAAAATGTAAGATAAATATGCCAAATTCCAAAAATTGAACAGCAGCCCCAAAAACATTTTTCACAAAATCCCCCAGAACTTCTCCGATCCAAATGTTCCCGCAATATCCTTCTTCCACGGATCATCAAAAGCAGAAAACAAAAACAATCCAGCATCATCATCATTCGCAAATGCGTTGTTCAAACTCTGCAGCGCCAGCTGCTGGTTCTTCTTGGACGGCACTGCCTTCCCATTCGATTGTCCGGATTTCGGCCAGCCGGATTCCGTAATAATAGTCATCTTTCCCCCTCCTGCAGCAGCAGACACACGCTTCATCTGGTCCTTGACAAACTCCCCCGCACGAGACGCGTCGATATTGGGGTCGAAGAAGGCATGGCAGTTCGCAGCACAGTAATCGGAGGCTTTGCAGAGTTCTGGGTGGTCGATAAGCGCGACGAAAGTGTCAACAGTGACGACAGGGCCTTTGTAACCCGCTCCGCGCAGTTTCGAGCGGGCGGTGTTTACTGCTTTGACGACCGCATCGGCAGAGGCTTGGCCGTTGTTTACAAGTTCATTGCCGATAGAGACTGTAGTGATGATTGGCCAGGCGGATTTGGCGCCCTCAATCAAAGTGTGTAAACCGTTGTCGAGATCGTTGATGTCAAAGATGCCGGCGAACAGTTTCTTGTTGTGCTTCTTAGCGGCAGCTACGATTTTGGGGACCTGATCGCAGTCAACCCCGTAGAAACGAATGACGTTGTATTTGCCTAGTTTGGAGAGTCGTCGTCGATTTCTTTCTCAGATTTGCATCCGCCGTCACTTCGGTATGGGGCGTAGCATACCTCCCAATCCTTTCGTGGTAAGTTAGGGGCCGCGGGGTCCTTCGGAGATGATAGTGGTGGTGGTAGAGGGAGTGGAAGTGAAGGTTTACTGGGCGAAGGAAGTGGAGGCAAGTTGGGTAAGTCAACAACGTTAGATTTGCCTCCAGGAGGTGTGGGAGCAGCAGCTGAAGGTGGTGGTGGAAGTGGAAGTGGAGGCAGTGGTGAAACTGGAAGTTGGACATTTTTGGTTGCTAGACCCTTGGGCGAGTGGAGGTGTTGCGTGACAGTGGACAGCGGAGCCGTGTAAGTAGACACCAGGCCTTTGGTCTCAGTTTTAATAGGTTTCCCATTCTGGTTGACCCAAACGACGACCCCAGGCACATCAACAATGACATATTTAGTCAAGGTCGCGCGCTTGGCATTTTGAGGTCGGTAGGCTGCCGTCAAGATATATCAGCTTCCAATCTCATGGCTAAGTTTAGTATAGTAGTACATATTACAAGCAGAAAACAAGAGAACTTACGTCTCGGGAGGGCCTCTGTTACTCCTAGAAAAGAGAGCGCGGTAATAGTGAAGATACCAGTCTTCATTGTCATGTATTTACTTTTGTGCAATGTATGTGAAGATTTCCCAAGGATGGATGGCCCTCTATGTGGGATGAGAGGAGCGCTGTGTGTGCATTATCAGTCAGTCAAGAGGAAGCCGTAATTACAAGAGCAGAGGTAAACAAGTATATGTAAATGCCCAGAATGCAGCTTTAAAACTTTTCAGCGACCCTCGTTCTAATGAAATGGAGCAATATGAGGACAGCCTTGACAGGGAAGAAAAGGTTGGATCTCACAAATTGACACGATAGAAGGAAACTTCACTCACCCGGAAATAGGGCATACAACAAGTGGGTTGAATATATATCTCCACAGCCCACTGATTCGAAGTTCACGAGCTAGTATAAGTTGTGAACGTGAGACTGTTTTCGTGGTGGTATTTAGCCCCAGCAACAGGAAAATGAGACCCTGGCCACTCCAGTATATCAATATGTTGGTGTGTGCACGAAGAAGCTAGGGTTGTATTTGTCAACGCCGGCGATATGAACGACGGGATTCTTTCCTTTTGCAATGAAGTGCAAGGTTGTTGGAGCTTGATGAAACAAGCTAATTGAGAGATTGGCGTTCAAGAGATTCACAACGCATGGTTAAGTTTGTATTTTGTAAAAGATAGGACTGCTTCGCAGGGGCGAAAGGCAAGGGTGTCTGAATAGGGAGGGTATAAGGAGGGACTGAGTTCAATATATCACTACCAGACGAAGCAGGTAGGTATTCAGGAGGCCATCGCGCACTGGGTGCAAGGTCAAAGCCGAGGACTCCCTCAAGAAGTAACGAAGGTAAGTAGAATAAAATGAATGATAAAAAATAAAAATCCCCGACTGGAGAAATCTCAGACACTAGTTGAGCAATGACAACCGAGTATAGCTCGATAAAGACTGACTAGTAGTGAGAAAGATAAAAGCTTTCAAAAATAGAAAAGGAGTGGAATAAGCCGGGGCTCACAAAAAGGAGCATTACCAGCAGCCAACCCCAGGCTCGGCCTGAAGAATTTAAAACAGATAAAAAAAAAAAAAAAAGAAGAAGAAGGAATAAAATAAAGTAACGAGTGTTATGTGAAAGAAGTACAGATCGACTTAGTTTAGAGGCGAACAAGATGGCAACACCAACACCGGAGTCGCGGAGAAAGGCGACTTCAGGCAGCGCATCAACTCTTGCCAACAAAGGGAATGAATGATGGTCTGAGGAGATTGGGGTGATAAGGACAGGCAATGGCGGCGTTGAACTGGAAAGAAACGAAATCGGCCAGGAACGCAACATGATCCAGTTTTATTTTTCTTAGGGTGTGCAAGAACTGCTATACATATTGGAACATGTACATGTGCTTGTTAGTAGTTGGGAGTTGGCGATGGGGTGTAGAGATTGGCTGAGCGGTAACCCAAAGCAGGAAAACACGGTAATTTCTTTTCTCCTTTGAAGAGAAGATTGTAAGTAGCAAAAAGGCGAAATCGGTAAACTGATTAAAGAAGTGCCACATATGTTGCCCTGAGGAGATCCGATACCATTCTCTTTCTCTACGCTTTTGTCGGTGAGTTGTCCAAATGGGACGTACCGTACCTCATTCTCACCGTTTGTGCGTAGTTGTTTATGGGAGTCGAATTAACACCGCCATTTCCCGTAGACGTCTCCGCGTCCGTGTTTGTCCGGTTTCATCATCTCATCTCCTTATGGCTTGGATGCTTGTCGAACGGGATATGCAAGGTAGACAGACAGCCAATCAGCAGGGTGTATCCTCGGCGCATTAATCAGCGACTGCATTATTGAACAGGCAATGCAGCCAACTGTAGCGGCCCCTATTTAGTGAAGATTGACATATAGCGTTCAGAGATACCCCTGTATCACTGTATCAAAAATCTAACTGAGGGTCCAGGACAAGAGAGCGAAGCCAAGCGCAGCATTGATTTTTTTTTTTCTTTTTTTTCTCCTTTGGAGCCACGACATCTCAAACGCGACACAACCTTCTGGATTTTCGTTTTCTGTTTCCCTCATTCGCTGCTTTGTTTCGTTGGCAAGTTTTCCGGGACGCCCCGTTTTCGTTCCCAAGAGAGACTTTCTCAAGAGAGACGGGGCAAATTCCAGGAACCAAACCAGAGTAGTTGGGAATATCAAATTGGACTGAACGTCGGGTCTACCTAACCAGCTTGATCAATCGACACACGATGCGTGACACAAGACTCTGGCTTGGCAGGGGATACCCGAGGCTTGATGCGTTCATTATTCCAAAGAGGCCTGGTCAAGAGTACTGTTGCGATTGTAGCGCAAACCTAACAGGACAGCAAGCTGGCTGACAATGTGGCCTTTTCCGATCTGTTCATTAGAAAATAAGGTCGCAGTTGAGGTTTTATGTTGCTTCTTTGTTTGGTTTCAATGTAGCGTTCTATTTATAAGGAAAACTGTCCCGGATACAACTAAGACATTATTGTTGTGAAAAGAGACTTGAGGCGGCGTTGTTGTTGTTGTTGTTGTTGTTGTTGTTGTTGTTGTTGTTGTTGGTTCTCTTTGTGCATGTGAGTGAATGGAATGGTGTTGGATTCCCAAGTCGGTTGGCCTGATTTGGTTGTCGTGGGAATGAGGCTCTTAACCAAATAACAGGCTGCAAACAACAATCCTCTCTACTAAATAATAGTACACTCCCGTTGAATTAGATGAAGCGAATGAGAAGATACACCTTAGTTAAAAATGATATATATAAAAGAAGAAAGAGTAGAACCCTAGCCAAAAACCCGCTCCCAACTACATACGCTCAATCATCCCGACTGCCAACTGTCAACGACTCATCCTCACCCACGTATGGAGCTCAGGTACGATGGAAAAACCAAACCCAAAAGCCCAATCCAATCCAATCCAAGCAGGGAACGATCCAACAAGAAACTTCCTTCTTCTCTCTTTTTCAAAATTTTGAGAAAAACTTACCCTAACCTCCCCAAACCCAAACGAGAATCACCAGCTAGCAGGTTGCTGATGTACTACTTCACCTTCCTCTTCCCCTTGGGTCTCATTGATTAAATAACAAACGCAGTTCATTCAATAAGCAGTCCTGTTTCATAGAATGACATGTTGTGGAGGGTGGTACAGAAAAACTGGGTGGTTGAGGACGCATCCTTAGTATGGGGGGATCGATTGGGCAGAGCAGAGGGGATAAGACGGGCTGACCAGTTTGATGTAAGCCGTATGACGATGATGGTGTCGAGGTTTTCTGAAACATCGAACGAATTATTGTATATGGATGCATGTATGTATATACACACATACCTGGGCCGGCACATAACCAGGGAATTGGAATTGACATGAAATATCCTGTACAGATAAGCAATCTCTGCGGTTACACTTATGGGGTTCATACATGTAACATTATCCTTGAGGAGCCCAGGAAGGGAAGGGGGAACAGAATCAACAGGCGTCGGACAGGAGTGAACAAGAGTGAAGCTATGGCCAGTAGTTCGCGCCAGTCTCGTCGTAAACAAGGCAACATGTATTGACAAAACGGGGAAAGAAAAATAAGGAGGATAATAGGGTACAGGTGAGTTGAACAAAAGTAGGTGACCAGGTGAATAACATTATTATATAAGAATATAAAAGCCCCCGGGGGGGGGGGGGGGTGGTACTGAATTACAAGAAGTCTCCCAAGCCTTTATCTTAGTAGTAGAAAGAAAAGACAAAACCAAAACCCCACAACCATGCGGGGAAAGAAGAAGAAGAAAAAAAAAGCCAGCATCATGAAAATCAGAAAAGAACGCTGGAAAGCCCCCAAGCCCCCATAAAAGCCAAGCCAGCCGCACCTCGAAACAAATATCATCGCCTCTGTCTGAGAACCTTCGTAATAGCATGGCGGATTACGGTTCCCGCCTTCTCAACCTCCTTCCGCGATATGCCTGTCGTTAAGCTTACTTTGAGAGCAGGAGGGGCGGGAGTTGCAATGCGCTTGGGAATCACGTCGTCCTCGATGGCCTTACAACGGGTGATGAGGACGCCATTGGCGAGAGCCTGAGGAACGTTTTATATGTTGGTTAGGCTTGGGATGAGGTGAATGGTATTTAAATTGGCAGAGAAAAGAGAAGAAAGAAAAGAAAAGGCGCGGGGAGGAAAAAGAAAGAGAAAGAATAAAAAAGAGGCTAAACGGAGGAGACACGACGAAGAATGTGAGGGAAGGAAACATACCTCGTCAACAATATCCTGGATCACAGCCACCTGATCCTCATTGGAGAGCTTCTTCGCCGCGACAACACCCGGTTTCAGCACGAGATGGATAACCGGATTCTCCGGCGCAGACGTGCAGTAGACGTAGTCACTCCGCGGATCCAGCTGGGCCCACATCGCCTTGATATTCTCCCGCAGCTGCGTGATAAGGTCGGGACTATTCTGCAAGAGGGTGATGGTTTCACTAGCCGTCGTGGCCAGCAGGGCGGGAAGCGCGGCGGAGTAGCAGTACGCGCTGGCGGAGATGCGCTGGTGGTGGACAATTTCTTCTGACCCAGCGCAGAAGCCGCCTCCAGCAATAAGGGGCCCGGCCAGCGAGCCGACGATCATATCAACCTCTGTCGCGTCGACGTTTTGGTGTTCTGTGATTCCGCGGCCGGTGCGGCCCAGGACGCCGAACGAGCAGGTCTCGTCCAGGACTAATCGGAATTTGTAACGTAATTTAAGCTCGATCTTTTCATTATGAAAAGTTAGCTTCTACAGCTGCTTTGCTTGTCACAACGGCAGACCAAGGGATGAAAAGGGGCAAAAAGAAAAGAGGTAGACAGAAAAGTGCGAGACGCACAATAGCCGGTAAATCCACCATATCCCCCCTGCTCTCAAACAGCGCCTCGGTAATAATAAACCTTCTCGTCAAGGGCTTCTTCGCCTGCTCCTTCGTAATCTTGTTCAAGACCCGTTCCAAATCCTCCATATCATTATGTTCATACCAACGCACGGCGCTACGCGAGATCTGTATACCCTTCCGAATCGCATAATTGACTCCTTTATCCACAACAATGATATCACCACGCTTC